ATAATAATAATAATAATAATAATAATAATAATAATAATAATAATAATGTAGGTTAAAGTGGATTTATAAGTCCATCTAATCGTCATAATATTTTAAGTGAGCAGTGTAAATGAATAATTGAAGGCAGTGCGTGTTTAAATCAATCATTTGGTGAATATAAGACACATATATAAGACATATATATATATAAAATATAAGACATATATAATATAAGACATGTATAATATAAGACATGTATAATATAAGACATATAATATAAGACATGTATAATATAAGACATGTATAATATAAGACATGTATAATATAAGACATGTATAATATAAGACATATAATATAAGACATGTATAATATAAGACATGTATAATATAAGACATGTATAATATAAGACATGTATAATATAAGACACATATAATATAAGACATATATATATATAAAATATAAGACATGTATAATATAAGACATGTATAATATAAGACATGTATAATATAAGACACATGTTTCTGTCGCACCTGGTGAACACGTCCGGGTAGTGCGTCTTCTGGAAGGCCCTCTCCAGCTCCTCCAGCTGGTAGCTGGTGAACGTGGTCCTGTATCTCCTCTGCTTCCTCTTCAGCATCCCCTCCTCCGAGTCGCTGCCCGCGGACAGACACACGCTGTCCTCCCCGTCACGCACGTCCCCGTCCCCGGCGGTCAAGCTCTCGCGCTCCTCGTCCTTCGGGGACAGCGCGGCCGCGTCCCCGCAGCTCTCCTCCTCCTTCCCGGCGTCCTCCTCGAACTTGAGCGGCCCGAGCTCCACCAGCGCGAGGCCGCCGTCCTCCGAGGCCCCCCCGGGGCTCTGCTCGCCCTCGCCCCGGCTCAGGGAGGCGTTCTCCCGGTAGGACTTGCTGCGGCTGATGCTCACCTGCGGCGCCTGGCTGATCTTCAGCCCGTCGGCGGCTTGTTCCACGAGGAGCCGCTCCCGCTCCAGCTTCTCCGCGTGCTCGTGCAGGTACTTCCCTCCGGGTCCGTAGAGCCGGCGGAGCTTGGGGGGCAGGTGCATGTCGGCGCCCAGGGACAGGGGCTCTTTGGTCGGCCCTGCACGAACGATACAAGTAAAACAAGAATAAACATTTAACTCCAACGCGCAGCGAAATAAACTTAGAACGTTTAAAACCCGTTTGATGTTCGGAGCTGGGATCGAACTCGCGACCTTCTGCTTGGAGCTGAGCCGCGGGTGCCGCCGCTCCTGAGCAAAGTTCCCGCCAGTGCTCCCAGGTGAACTCACCGTCGGGCGCCTCCCCCCTGCCGGGCAGGAGCGGGAGGTTGTGCGGGCCGAGCCGGAGCTTGCAGGGGCTGCGGCGGCCCAGGATGCTGTCGATGCAGTAGGAGGAGAGCAGCGTGGGGGACTTGCTCTTCCTCTCGCGCTCCTGGAGCTCTTCCTCTAAGTGACCGCTCATGTTTTTATTTTGTTTTATTTTATTTTCACGCGTGGCCCCCCCACCCCCTCACTCCTCCGGTCCTCGTGTCGCTTCCCTCTCAGCTGATGACAGACAGCCGCTCCGAGCGTCTCGCGCCGCGCGTGTGTTCTGTTACCGCGCGCCTGATTGGCTCTGCATGTGTGCGCGCGTGAAGAAGAAGAGAGAGAGAGAGAGGCGCGAGGCTGCTTTATATGTTTTACCATTAAAGTTAATTTGAGAGGAGAGGAGATAAAACCCGACATGGACTTTTGTTTTGGGGGTTTTGTTTTTTCCTCCGGAACGAACTTAAAAACTGTCCAATAAATGAACACGTGGCTTTTTAACTTTTCCTCCTTTAGCAAAATAATAATTAATGTCATATAGCCTTAAAAAATAGGTTATTTATGGACGAGCTTTGATTTTATGTATATAAAGTGTTTAATTTACAACATATAACAACAAAGCAGCAAAATACAGGGTCGCCCCTGAGTTTTAAAGATGCACAATATCTGAAAAGGCAATAACATATACTGTAATTCTTGATAAATGTATATATTTTTTATTTTTGTTTGAACTCTGGATCTGTATGAGCAGCATAGAAACTGTGATTTATTGAAATTTAATTTAAATTCTCCACTTAGCACCATTTCATCAACTTTGGGAGGTTTTGTAAAATATACACAGAATGTGATGATTTGCTAAATATTTTTTATCCACAATGGATCTTAGGCTGAATGCGCTGAAAGAAAAAGTGCATATTTAAAAAACAAAAAGATAAATTGAGTAATTTTATGGCAGCATCACTTTAAGCAACAGTTGACCAAACATCTGAGGAGACATGACTTTTGCATGTCGACCCGTTTTTCTTCTTCGCTGGATTTTTGTTTGCTTCTTTATGAACCAAATGTTTTCTTGATGAGAGGTGGCCTGCAGGCAACACCTCCATCACAGAGGGACCAATGCACCCCCATACCATCAGAGAGGCAGGCTTTCCGATGGTCTCCCTCCTTAATGTTTTGCAGAGAAGACGACAGTCGTTCTGGGTGGCGTTGGTGAACTTTGTTTACACACAGATGTTTGTGCACAAGAACCAGACCTGGTTTTACTGCAGCGGCCCCCGGGGGCCCAGAAGATCACGACCATCATGACTTTCAGAGCCAAACATTCATCCCTCATTTTGTCTCTTAGTTTAAATATTTGACATATTTTATACATTCTTCTGTAAAAACAAAATGTATATGAGATTAGCTGATTATTGCATTCTGATTTTTTAATTTTATATTTTCAACAAACTCCTTTTTTTTT